TTGTTGGTAACACTGCTGAAAACATGTTGGGTTATAAGATATTCGTGAAACAAAAGGTTTATTTTACTTTGCTTACGATACAAATTTTATTTTCTAATATATATATATATATATATTATATTTAGAATTATTTACTTAACAATATTCTCTATGTTTACTTTAATGTAGGACTAGCGAATGTTATTATCAATCTTAAGGAGCACTTTTAAGGTAAATAAGTATGTGTTTTTATCTTTTTAGGTAATTAAAATTTTTATATTTTGTTAGTATGTAACTCTTTAGGCAAAAAGTTTAAGATGGTACAGACGTGTCACTTGTGTTTTATTCTTTTTTGTTGGTAGCACTCTTTTAGACGTGGATTATGAGATATCCGTGGAATAAGAGGTTTGTCTTCCTTCTTTTATCATATTTTTAAGTTTAGTTTTAACACAGTTAGTAATCTAAGTACACTGAAAGAAAAATCCGATTGATTTTCTTGTAATTCCTAATAAATAAAACAAACAACTAACTTGAGTGAAATTACAACAAACTAAAACGACATATTTTAACAACAAGTAGGCGTTGAAATTCTAATACAATTACAAACAAACTCAAATAGAATCACAAATTCAAGTAAACCAAAACAAAAATTACATTTAACTCTTCAACTTTTCCAGATAACAAAAATCTCAAACACAATAACGAGAAACTATAACAAACAAATTACATCTACCCTTACAAACAAACTCAAATACAATTACAAAGTCAAGTAAACCAAAACAAAAACTACATTTGACTCTTCAACTTTTCCTGCAAACAAACATCTCAAACACAATAACGATAAATTACCGCAAACAAATTACAACTTCCCTTACAAACTGACAAGGAAAAATGGTAAAACCCAAGTATTAGCCCTGAAAACGAATATCTCGTTTTAATATTTGCGTGAGTAGAAATGATTATAAATTGAAACAATTTAGCATTATTTTGTCAGTGAATTTCTTTATGTGTACATTAACATAGTAATACTTGAGGCTGTTTTTAATGTTATGCAGAAGACAACAAAATTGTCCTCTTTTAATGTCTTTTCTTTTTTATTTTAGTCGTTTTTTTTAATTTAAAGTTTTGATATCTGTCTATGCCTGCATTTGTTACATTTAGTTGCTATTGGTTTTCTTCTGATTTTAAAAGAGTCTTGATCATTTATAAATTGATATACTCACATTTGTGTAATTGTTGTAGATTTCAAACGCTCAAAATCAGGTAAATAAACACGTATTCAATATTATATTTTTTCTATAACTAGTTAAAATTTTCTTTCTTTGTTACTGTAAAGATCTTTAGGCAAAAAGTTAAAGAGAGTCCAATCATATATTATCTTTTTTTTGTTATCTTTTGTGGGTAACACTACTAGAAACATGTTGGTTTATAAGATATTCGTGGAACAAAAGGTTTATTTTGCTTTACTTATGATATAAATTTTATTTTCTAATATATATATAATTTTTTTCTATTTAGAATTATTTACTCAGTAATATTCTTTATGTTTACTTTAATGTAGGACTAGTGAACGTTATTATCAATCTTAGGGAGCACTTTTAAGGTAAATAAGCATGTGTTTTTATCTTTTTGGGTAGTTAAAATTTTTATATTTTGTTAGTATGTAACTCTTTAGATAAAAAGTTTAAGATAGTATAGGCGTGTCACTTGTATTTTATTTTCTTTTGTTGGTAGCACTCTTTTAGACGTGGATTATGAGGTATCCGTGGAATAAGAGGTTTGTCTTTCTTCTTTTATCATATTTTTCAGTTTAGTTTTGCTTTTTTTAAGCCTAATTTATTTTTAAAATTTTTTTGATGGAGTTAGAGAGAGTTACAACGCTATCTATTTCTGCATCATCAATCACATTAAGTTTTAAAAAGGTTTCATTTGGAGCTACAAGGAGATCTACTCTATGATCACTTTAGTGGAAAAGAATATATGTGGTTCGATTTGGTGGCAGGAACTCATCTTCTTTGGTTGCAGGAGTGCTTGGTCGGCGGTATTTTTTTGTTTCTTTAATGTTTATAATAAGATTGCATTTACTGAATTGGTAATCAGGATATTGGAGCTGGTCTATTATACAGTCATTTGGTACTATGAGCTGCTGTGTTTTATGAGGTATCTCTTTCTTCTTGTCTTTCACATTCTATTTCCTGGGTTTTGGTATGTTTATCTTATTTCTCGCATCGCTGGAAGGAGGTCCTGACCATTCTTCAAAATTGTGCTGTAAGTGATGAAAATTCAATTTTTATTTTAATAATTTTTCATAATTACTTGTTGTAGCAAACCTGCGAATAGTGGCTGTCTTACTTACGTTGGCAGGTTCTCGGTATAGCCTACGGCGTGCTTTATGGTCTGTGAGAGACAAAAGAGGGAGAGTGTGTACGAAGAAGAGAACTAGAGCGACAGAGGAAATGAGTTCGTATGAAATTTTACCTCATGATTTTATTATCTGATTAGTCAATTATTTTTATTTTTTTACTAACTAATCAAACAATTATTTTTATTTTTTTGCATGAGTTGAAATGATTATAAATTGAAATAGTTTAGCATTAGTTGCTCAGTGAATTTCTTTATGTGTGCATTAACATAGCAATACTTGAGGCTGTTTTTAATGTTATGTAGATGACAACAAAATTGTCCTCTTTTAATGTCTATTCTTCTTTATTTTAGTCGTCTTTTTTTGTTTAATTTGAAGTTTTGATATACGTCCATGCCAAGTTGTGCATATGTTACATTTAATTGCTATTGGTTTTTTTCTTATTTTAATTACAACGTAAAAAGGTCTTGATCATTTATAAATTGATATGCTCAGTTTTGTATAGTTGTTGTAGATTTCAAAGGGTAAAAATCAGGTAAATAAACACGTATTTAATATTATATTTTTTCTGTAACTACTTAAAATTCTTTTTCTTTGTTGTTATGAAAATCTTTAGGCAAAAAGTTAAAAGAGAGCAAAACCCAAGTATCAGTCCTGAAAACAAATATATCATTTTTTAGATTTGCATAAGCTGAAATGACTATAAATAGAAATAATTTAGCATTATTTCGTTAGTGAATTTCTTGATGTGTACATTGACATAGCAATACATGAGGCTGTTTTTAATGTTATGCAGAAGACAACAAAAGTGTCCTCTTTTAATGTTTTTTCTTCTTGATTTTAGTCATTTTTTTAAAATTTGAAGTTTTGATATCTGTCCATGCCTGCATTTGTTATATTTAATTGCTATTGGATTTCTTCTTATTTTAGTTACAACGTAAAAGAGTCTTGATCATTTATAAATTGATATGCTCATTTTTGTGTAATTGTTGTAGATTTCAAACGCCAAAAATCATGTAAATGAACACGTATTTAATATTATATTTTTTTTTTATAATTAGTTAAAATTTTCTTTCTTTGTTACTATGAAGATCTTTAAGTAAAAAGTTAAAGAGAGTTCAATCGTATATTATCTCTTTTTTGTTCTCTTTTGTGGGTAATACTACTGGAAATATTTTGGTTTATAAGATATTCGTAGAAAATAAGTTTTATTTTCTATTTAGAATCATTTATTTAGCAATATTATTTATGTTTACTTTAATGTAGGACTACCGAAGGTTATTATCAATCTTAGGGAGCACTTTTAAGGTAAATAAGCATGTGTTTTATTTTTTTGGGTAGTTAAAATTTTTATATTTTGTTAGTATGTAACTCTTTAGCCAAAAAGTATAAGATGGTCCAGACGTATCACTTGTGTTTTATTCTTTTTTGTTAGTAGCACTTTTTTAGACGTGGATTATGAGATATTCGTGGAATAAAAGGTTTGTCTTCCTTCTTTTATCATATTTTTCAGTTTAGTTTTACTTTTTTTAAGCCAAATTTATTTTTTAGATTTTTTTGATGGAGTTGGGGAGAGTTACAACGCTATCTATTTCTGCTTCATCTATTACATTAAGTTTTAAAAAGTTTTATTTGGAACTACAAAGAGATCTACTCCATGATCACTCTAGTGAAAAAGAAGATCTGTGGTTCAATTTGAAGGCAGATACTGGTGATGGCGGAAACTCGTCTTCTTCGTTTGCAGGAGTACTTGGTCAGTGATTTTTTTTATTTTTCTAATATTTCTAATAAGGTTGCATTTACTGAATTGGTAATCAGGATATTTGAGCTGGTCTATTATACAGTCGTTTGGTACTATGAACTGCTGTGTTTTATGAGGTATCTCTTTTTTCTTGTCTATCACATTATATTTTTTGGGTTTTGGTATTTTTGTCTTTTTTCTCGCGTCGCTGGCAAAAGGAAGGAGATCCTGACCATTCTTCAAAATTGTGCTGTAAGTGATAAAAATTCAAATTTTATTTTAATGATTTTGTATAATTACTTGTTATAGCAAACCTGCGAATAGTGGCTGTCTTATTTACGCTGGCAGGTTCTCGGTATAGCCTACGGCGTGCTTTACGGTTTGTGAGCGACAAAAGAGGGAGAGTGTGTACGAAGAAAAGAACCAGAGCAACAGAGGAAGCGAGTTCGTATGAAATTTTACCTCATTATTTTATTATTTGATTAGTCAATTATTTTTATTTTTTTACTAACTAATCAAACAATAATTTTTAAATTATACTACAATAACTTAGTTAAAGAATGAATTTGAACACTAAAAACCTACATGACGATAGATCAATATGAACAATGCAAAGCAAACAAATTATAATTAGAAACCGAAATTGGAAAAAAAATACAAACAAACTCAAATACAGTTACAAATCTAAGTACACTGAAAGAAAAATCCAATTGATTTTTTTTCAATTCTAAACAAATGAAACAAACAACTAGCTCGAGTGTAATTACAACAAACTAAAACAACAAATTTCAACAAGTAGGCACTGAAATTTTAATACAATTACAAACAAACTCAAATACAATCACAAACTCAAGTACATCAAAACAAAAATTACATTTAGCTCTTCAACTTTTCCAGATAACAAACATCTCAAACACAATAACGAGAAACTACAACAAACAAATTACATCTACCTTTACAAACAAACTCAAATACAATTACAAAGTCAAGTAAACCAAAATAAAAATTACATTTGGCTCTTCAACTTTTCCTGCAAACAAACATCTCAAACACAATAATGACAAATTACCGCAAACAAATTACAAACTACCCTTACAAACTGACTAGAAAAAAGAGTAAAACCCAAGTATCAGCCCTGAAAACGAATATCTCGTTTTAATATTTGCATGAGTTGAAATTATTATAAATTGAAAAAATTTAGCATTATTTTATCAGTGAATTTCTTTATTTGTACATTAACATAACAATACTTGAGACTGTTCTTAATGTTATGCAGAAGACAACAAAATTGTCCTCTTTTAATGTCTGTTCTTCTTAATTTTAGTCATTTTTTTTTTAATTTAAAGTTTTGATATCCGTCCATGCCTTCATTTGTTACATTTAATTGATATTGGTTTTCTTCTGATTTTAAAAGGGTCTTGATCATTTATAAATTGATATGCTCACTTTTGTGTAATTGTTGTAGATTTCAAACGCCAAAAATCAGGTAAATAAACACGTATTCAATATTATGTCTTTTCTATAACTAGTTAAAATTTTTTTTCTTTGTTACTATGAAGATCTTTAGGCAAAAAGTTAAAGAGAGTCCAATCATATATTATCTCTTTTTTGTTCTCTTTTGTGGGTAATACTACTGGAAACATATTGGGTTATAAGATATTCGTGGAACAAAATGTTTATTTTCCTTTGCTTGTGATATAAGTTTTATTTTCTATTTAGAATCATTTATTTAGCAATATTCTTTATGTTTACTTTAATGTAGGACTACCGAAGGTTATTATCAATCTTAGGGAGCACTTTTAAGATAAATAAGCATGTGTTTTTATTTTTTTGGGTAGTTAAAATTTTTATATTTTGTTAGTATGTAACTCTTTAGGCAAAAAGTTTAAGATGGTCCAGAAGTGTCACTTGTGTTTTATTCTTTTTTGTTGGTAGCACTCTTTTAGACGTGGATTATGAGGTATCCGTGGAATAAGAGGTTTGCCTTTCTTATTTTATTATATTTTTCAGTATAGTTTTACTTTATTTAAGCCTAATTTATTTTTTAAAATTCAATTAATGGAGTTGGGGATAGTTACAACGCTATCTATTTCTGCATCATCTATCACATTAAGTTTTAAAAAGATTTCATTTGGAGTTACAAAGAGATCTGCTCTATGATCACTTTAGTGAAAAAGAAGATCTGTGGTTCGATTTGAAGGCATATACTGGTGATGGCGGAAACTCGTCTTCTTCGGTTGCAGGAGTACTTGGTCAGCGATTTTTTTTTTTCTAATGTTTCTAATAAGGTTGCATTTACTGAATTGGTAATCAAGATATTTAAGCTGGTCTATTATACAGTCGTTTGGTACTATGAGCTGCTGTGTTTTATGAGGTATCTCTTTCTTCTTGTCTATCACATTATATTTCTTGGGTTTTGGTATGTTTTTCTTTTTTCTCGCGTCGCTGGCGAAAGGAAGGAGATCCTGACCATTCTTCAAAATTGTGCCGTAAGTGATGAAAATTCAATTTTTATTTTAATGATTTTATATAATTGCTTGTTATAGCAAACCTGCGAATAGTGGCTATCTTACTTACGCTGGCAGGTTCTCGGTATAGCCATCGGCGTGCTTTACGGTCTGTGAGCGACAAAAGAGGGAGAGTGTGTACGAAGAAGAGAACCAGAGCGACAGAGGAAGCGAGTTCGTATGAAATTTTACCTCATTGTTTTATTATCTGATTAGTCAATTATTTTTATTTTTACTAATTAATCAAATAATAATTTTTAAATTATACTACCATAACTTAGTTTAACACTAAAAAGCTACAAAGCTACATGGATTTGAACACTAAAAAGCTACATGACGATAGATCGATATGAACAATGCAAAGCAAACAAATTATAATTAGAAACTAAAATTGGAAAAAAAAATATAAACAAACTCAAATACAGTTATAAATCCAAGTACACCGAAAGAAAAATTCAATTGATTTTTTTTCAATTCCAAATACATGAAACAAACAACTAACTCGAGTGAAATTACAAGAAACTAAAACAATAAATTTCAACAAGTAGGCACTGAAATTCTAGTACAATTACAAACAAACTCAAATACAATCACAAACTCAAGTAGACCAAAACAAAAATTACATTTAGCTCTTCAACTTTCCCAGATAACAAACTTCTCAAACACAATAACGATAAACTCCAACAAACAAATTACATCTACCCTTACAAACAAACTCAAATACAATTACAAAGTCAAGTAAACCAAAACAAAAATTACATTTAACTTTTCAACTTGCCCAGAAAAAAACATCTCAAAATCAATAACAGCAAACTACAATAAACAAATTACAACTACCCTTACAAACTTACGAGGAAAAAGAGCAAAACCCAAGTATCAGCTCTGAAAACAAATATATCCTTTTTTATATTTGCATGAGTTGAAATGATTACAAATAGAAACAATTTAGCATTATTTCGTTAGTGAATTTCTTTATGTGTACA